CTTAAACGAATAAATATTTTCTATATTTTTTGAGGGAAAAAAGCTTTAAGTAAGTTAACTTATTATTTAAGGACATCAGAAAAGGCTTTTAGCTATGAAATAAATCAGCGCAACGGAATTAATGCACATAAAAGTTTCTCTCTTACATGAATAATTTTTGCATCCAATTTCACTCTTCAAATGCAACTTTTCGAATTTGGCTTTACAACAAACTCCCGCTGTGCTCACTTCGGCCGCATTCCCAAGTATTTTTGTCCGGATGGTTCCTATCAGACAAAGTACACTTCCGTTTAAGTTTTTTTATATAACTTTCTGATGCAAGGTAGGACAATATTTAATGTTCCAATGGAAAACGTTCTCCGCCAACGAAAAACATCCGAATATTCAGTCAGCACGTGACATGGCGAACCACAAATCGAGAATCTTTTGCCAGAAATATTTTTGCAACTGAATAATATCGGGAAAGATGGGCAAATTCTGATATTACGATGTATTAAGGTTGCAGCTAATGACATCGGAAAGGTCAAAAATGAAAAAAAATAGATGATGAATTTGTCACGCACTTGATAAGCACTTTAATACGATCAGAATTGATTTAACGCATACACAATTAATCTTCGAAATGCTGAATGTTTGAAAATGTCTCATTCAACCTTTGATAACCTATTTGGACTCATCCAAATACTCTCTGTGTCGTACACAATTCATCTTTGAAATGTTCACATTACGCCAATCTCTTTCACATTCCGCAACTTAACAAATTAGCTTTGACTCCTCCCTTTCCTTATCAATTTCCTTCATCCTCAACAACCTATACATACTGCTGCTTAATGATATTGGCTCAAATTATCAGCCATAACTTTAATAGCGGTTCATATTATGACCTTGTGAAAATCATTGAAATGTCTGGAGAAAATTCTCGTGATATGCATGTTTGTTATAAAAATGAAACATAAAAAATTTATTGATATGCTATTTAAAATGCAAAAAATTGTTGTCATACAATCATCCTTTTCAGCTTTTTTCTCCTTCCTCTCCTCAAATTATATGCTAATTCTTCCAATAATTCAATTATTTTATTTCATCCAAACAATTATTATTTTTGTTTTTGTTTAGAAAAAAAAATGTAAAATACCTTCTCTTAGGTTAATTCTGGTTTGATCATAATAAAATTTACATGGAAATTTTGAGAAAATTTTCATAATAAAAATAAAACCAAATCGCAATTTATTTCATTTGTATTGCTATCGCTGATGTTATAAAGTTGTCTTAAGATAATTAGCATGTCGGGGGAAATATTTTTTGACTTCGGTGTGAAACCTGTCAAGAAACGGAAAAGTCAAGTTCGTGAAAGTCAGGTGGATTTTCCAATGTTTCATTTTTAATATTCCTTAATAATCACAATTTCAGTTTGCTTTAGTATGGCAATAATTGGTGACAATTTCTTGCATCACTCTCTTTGTGTATATTTCGATTTCAAATCCAAAAATATTAAAAAGAAAAAGATGGGAAAAAATGCATTAATATTATTTTTTAACTACTATATTTATTTTAAGAGATATAAATTGTGATCAATTTTTTAGACGTATTCAATTTAATTTGGTCCAAAACAATGTAACATGAAGTGCATGCATGCTGTTAAGATCTCCTGCATGTGCATGCACATTTAATGTTGCATATTAGGTGTTACTTCACAAATGTAAAAGGGATGGTTTAATAAAATATGATACCATGTTTCCATATTAATAGTGAGAATAAATAGTATGAATTTGTGATTTAAACAATTAAATTTTTACTGAAAAGGCTTAATTTATCACTTGTAGCCGGGATCAACGGAAAATAAAGAAGCGGATAAAAATTCGACAGAGGTCAGAGGTGAAAGGAAAAAACATCACATTTGGAAACGTACTGACTATGCAAAAGCTAATGCTGTATATTTCTATTGTTCTTAATTCTAACCTAAAATTAAAAATTCAAAGTGTGATAGGCTTGGCAGTTGTTCAGAATACTGTAAGTAGTTTGGTTCAAAAAAGATCCAAGAAAAGAATTCAATTTTACATAAGATTTAGGCAGATATAATGAGCTTTTACGGCGGTGGTAAACAAAATGAAATTGAGCAACCAACAACTCGAATGAAACTTCGCTTATGTATGTTAGAAGTTGAAATTTTAATTGATGCTAACTTTATCAGTAGCAAAAGTTCGGTAGGCTAAAATTTTTTATATCTTCTGATTACTCATAAGTGCATTGGTAGAACTACAACGTCCTTAATTTGCTTAGGTTATTTAATCTATTAAACGATAGAAACCAGATGCTCTCCTTCTTAACGGAAAACAGTTAGTAAAGGTTTGATCTAATCTAATATCTTCAGTGATATTGACGTTGTATCTAGCGTTTCTCTAAAGTTATGGGGCCCGCCTTTCTTGATTAGCAATTAGGATCATAGAATAGTCATTCGACATTCATCTCTTCACTACAAATATCTCATTTATTCAAATTTTAGCACGTAAACCAAAAAAGAAATCAAAACATTGGCAAAGGATTCGCGGAAAAGTATCCAAACATTTTTCATACTAAATGCTAATACTTTTTTGTATTTATCAAACTTTAAACAGAAATTTTTCATTGTAATACATTTAATTTCTCAAATGAGATCTTTCTGTCACCCTCTGACAGATAATAATTGTTTGGATGAAATAAAATAATTGAATTATTGGAAGAATTAGCATATAATTTGAGGAGAGGAAGGAGAAAAAAGCTGAAAAGGATGAGGAAGAATTGATCAGTTTATTGAGTGAAAAAGATACAAGTGAGAAAGACGAGAAGGAACGGAAAAAGCGGAAGAAAAGGAAAAAGAAACGCTTGGATGAGCCAGCAGATGACCTCGAGATAGATAAAAAGCGTCGACAATGGTCGAGAGCGAAGAAACGTCGATCATTCAGGCACGAAGATTCCGAAGATAAAACGGATGATGAAGAAGGTACTGGATTGGGTGAAGAAGCAATGAATGTTTCGGCACCTGCAACCGAATCGTTATCCCAATCACCTTCACCTTCACTTCTCGAGGAAAACACGAAAACAGCACTATGTGCGCCATCAATGGTAATCAGTTTTTGTGAGTTACCGCATTATGAGAAATTTGTAACGATGGTGTGCAATATAAATCCGATAGTAAAAAAATCGATTGCATTTTTATTGATACTTATTTTGAAATTTTCTTCTAATTATTTAAGTAAACAGACCCAAGAAAAAATCCCTCTTCTTTTAGAAAATATCATTATTGAAAAGTTTCAGGAATCAATGATGCCAGAAGATGCTGATGATGTGGGTGATGAAAAGCCACCGGTAAATTATAAAGCCATGTATGGGGAAGCATCGGAATCGAAGTACATCGATATGATGGAGTTGTCTGTTGAACTACGATATTGGATTGTACTTGCTTTATTCATATGTTTACTCATCATTTATCGTAGTTTCTTGCCTCCTCTTCAATGTGACACGAAATTTCAATGATAAATTTTTGAATGAATGATAATTTACCAGGGCAAGTTATCATTCATTATTTTATTGTATGACAACAATTTTTTGCATTTTAAATAGCATATCAATAAATTTTTTATGTTTCATTTTTATAACAAACATGCATATCACGAGAATTTTCTCCAGACATTTCAATGATTTTCACAAGGTCATAATATGAACCGCTATTAAAGTTATGGCTGATAATTTGAGCCAATATCATTAAGCAGCAGTATGTATAGGTTGTTGAGGATGAAGGAAATTGATAAGGAAAGGGAGGAGTCAAAGCTAATTTGTTAAGTTGCGGAATGTGAAAGAGATTGGCGTAATGTGAACATTTCAAAGATGAATTGTGTACGACACAGAGAGTATTTGGATGAGTCCAAATAGGTTATCAAAGGTTGAATGAGACATTTTCAAACATTCAGCATTTCGAAGATTAATTGTGTATGCGTTAAATCAATTCTGATCGTATTAAAGTGCTTATCAAGTGCGTGACAAATTCATCATCTATTTTTTTTCATTTTTGACCTTTCCGATGTCATTAGCTGCAACCTTAATACATCGTAATATCAGAATTTGCCCATCTTTCCCGATATTATTCAGTTGCAAAAATATTTCTGGCAAAAGATTCTCGATTTGTGGTTCGCCATGTCACGTGCTGACTGAATATTCGGATGTTTTTCGTTGGCGGAGAACGTTTTCCATTGGAACATTAAATATTGTCCTACCTTGCATCAGAAAGTTATATAAAAAAACTTAAACGGAAGTGTACTTTGTCTGATAGGAACCATCCGGACAAAAATACTTGGGAATGCGGCCGAAGTGAGCACAGCGGGAGTTTGTTGTAAAGCCAAATTCGAAAAGTTGCATTTGAAGAGTGAAATTGGATGCAAAAATTATTCATGTAAGAGAGAAACTTTTATGTGCATTAATTCCGTTGCGCTGATTTATTTCATAGCTAAAAGCCTTTTCTGATGTCCTTAAATAATAAGTTAACTTACTTAAAGCTTTTTTCCCTCAAAAAATATAGAAAATATTTATTCGTTTAAG